TCGATATGTCTGCCTTGTGTTGTCCCGATTTATGGGACCATTCAGCTGTTATTATGTGGCTGATATCGAGAAGATTAGTGTTCGTGTCCTAATCTTTGAGTTCAAAGTTAGCAAGGATAGAAGATCTGTGGACTTCAAGTTCTTATATTCTCGCATCCTCGAATGCGATCGGTCTCAACATTCTGAAGCTATGACCAGCGATGTAGAGTTGGTTGGTGCCTTTGTGATGTAAGTTTTGTTGATTAGATTATGCCACCGAGTAATATATTTTCTTTAAATTTCCAGTTCATTTCATGATCATATTCACACTCGCGTTTTAGAGAGCATGAGTATAAATGTGTGTGGGTCTGAATATGTTTGTTATATTGTATAGCTGCGTTGTAAGTGTTGGTTAATTATGCCGCATGACTTGTATATTTTCTCAGTTTTTGAACAACATATGACTAATAGAAAATAATTAAGAAGTTCCGTAGAAGATTTTTCAGCAGCAAAATCGTAAATTGGTTTTTTCTATTGCCATTTGATGCGGTGTTAGAGTATCAACTAAGCTATTAGAGACTACACGTATCCTTTCACTTATGACTAGATTTTGTTAAGCAGCCAATTATCAAGTTTGTATTGGCATTTTGTGCTTAAGTTAGGTATGGCATATACTTTTATATTTATATATGTATGAATCTTTGTTCTTTCTCTTCTTTTCTTGTTGGTCTATTTTCCGGCTCTGTTTTGGTTTTGGTTTTGTTTTGTTTGAGTTATTATTGTTATTTATTTATTTGTCTCTAATCCTTGGAACAGGTAATTTACTGGTGAGAAGAGGGATTTTCTTTGGCTAAAATGTGGGAGGGCCTTGCAATCATGAAGAACGATCTTTAGTCTTAGAAAGTTATGGTTAGAATGATCCTTAGTTAGTTAGTACTCTCCAATAATCAGCGAGGAATGTGGCTTTACTTTTGATGAAGGTTTTATTGGTATATTAGATAGTATGGAAACATGGTTTGTATTGTTACTTTGTATTGTTATCCTATCATCCATGATTTGGTTTTCTTTTCATAATCTTCGAAA